TAGAGTGCTACCATTGGGTAGTTACTCAGCAAGTGTATTCATGTCATTATATCTATTTTGTTCAAATTTACTTGATGTATTTATGTAATACAGTTGTAAATGTCATTACGAAATAAAAAAAAAAAATATATGCAGGTCTAATTTTTAGTTTCAGAAATATTGTAATCCATATCTTTCATAAAGTTGGTTATCGTTGGGTTTTCGACACTATTTTTTTCCTATTTTCTTCGCCTCTCTTACACGGCGCCACGTTAAGGTATAATTTTTAATAATAGCTCATTACCAATAGGATTAAATGTTGAACATTTCCCTAGCTTAAAGTATGTAGGTCTGATTTTTAGTTTTTGAGATATTTTAATCCATATGCAAAAGCATTTCTATTAGTCGTCTCTAGCCGACTTTAACCGAGCGTTACACATCGTATTTTTGACGCCTCAATCTAATTCACTCTCCAAAAAAAAGTAAAAAATGCTCTTAAAGAAGTTTTCTCTTAAAAATAAAAAATCTATTTTTTATCAAATTAGTATGGTACGTGAAAATTGTGAGATGCGCGCATAGCACCAGATTTTTTTTGTAAAATTGTTTTTGGAGAATTATGTAAAGATTTGTATCCAATTTTCATTGGGAGACTCACAGCTTTTCCTTTGATGATTTATTCCGTACGGATGAATATTAAAATTTGACGATCCATCGAATGAGGAGAAGAATCGATAAATCTGACACCAGCACGAATGTTGCGAGCGACCCTTTGGGCTTTGCACTCGAGAGTAAGGTGTAGATAAGAATCTGACTCTTCCTTCCTTATCAGTGCTCGAGAGAAGAAGTCCGCTCGAGTTAGCGCTTCTAATTTAAAGTAGGCTTTATCTTCTCCCGGCGCTATCTGGAGCGGCACGAACTCGCCCCATTATGTTCGCAATTGCTCGCCCCATCGCAAACGAATTCTCTTCTTTCTTCACGGTCGTTAGCAGTCATGCAATAGCACCTCTGAAGCCTCCATTCCGCGAAATCTCTCGTAATGATGGAGTGCATTAGTATTTAAAAACCTATGTTCTTTTTCAACAATTTTATAATCCGAATGATTCATTTTAAATAATTGTTTAATTGTGAATTGATGGTTGACTGCAGCCAATAATTGAAAAGAAATTTGTAGGGGTGTTCAGTAAAAAAAAAAAATAGATAAATTATATTTATTTTTATGTTTTCCGATGTTTCAGACCTAAATTCAGGCCCTTCAGCAGGGCTAAGAAAAGAACAGATAACAATATGAGAAACAATAAATTTATCAAAAAATAATAATAATAATAATTTTTCATCAGGCTCTGGCGGTAAATCTCAACTTGTTAGATGACAAAACTCCATATTATAAGTACCACCCAAATAAACTCCTCCAAAAAGGTAGTCTCAAGCTCTACTGGGATGAATCGATAATAACTGACCATACTGTGCGTCACAATAAACCAGACATCCGTCTGATAGACATGAGAGAGAAAAGAGCAGAGCTTATTGATGTCGGGATCCCCAATGATAATAATATAAGCTCCACTGTTGGAGAAAAACTGAGAAAATACCAGAAACTGGCAATCGAACTGAAGGAATTATATCATTTGGGGAACGTTACCACCACTCCAATTATAATATCCTCCAATGGATTGATACCAAAGACAACAGTAGCAGGCACGATGGGATTAAAATTACCTCTTGGAGTGCTGAAAGAGGCTCAACACTCAGTTCTCTTGGATACAGCACGTATTGTTCGAAAGTTTTTAAATATCTAAAAAGTAATATATATTAATCTGAAGTGGCTGGACTTCTGGTCTCCCACCTCAGAAACTTACCCCGCAAAGCGAGAATAAAGAATGGGAATAATAATAATGTAAGAAACATATGAAAAACGCCAAGGAAGTTCAGATTAGCTTCCTCACCGTGGAATTTCAATAGCCATAAACACAATCACAAATAAGATTTTTTTTTTTTTTTCTCAGAGTATAAATTAATTGAAAATTACACGAAATCTAAGTAACGTTTGGAATGGACAAAAACAATACCGTATAAATTAATTCTTTGAATAAAACCTAAAATTTTATAACCACATAAAAATATTGTTATAACCAAATTCCCTCTCCATATGATCAGTACCTTTCACATTCCACTGCCTCTATGTTGTTAACAATTATTTATATTTATTTTATTAATTATTAAATGAAATTCATATTAGAAAATTTCTATACTATTCTTCAAATTTCCTCCAAGTTTAGGTAGAAAAAACACAGTTTTTAAACTATAGGCTTGCCAAATAATACGTTTGCTGATCCGAAAGCGAAAGTACTATTTCTAGGAGAGGTGGATTGAATTTGATAAAATTCATACCTACATGATTATCTGTTTACGAATCCCTAACTTTCCTCCAAACTTGAGCCAAATCGAACATGCGGTTTTAGAGATATAGACGTATCGAAGAAAACACATTTGCTCATATAGAAGAGAAATTATTGGATAGAAATCAATGAAATTGACATTACTTTATTTTTTTCCCATTACCTACCTTTTATATAACTTTGAGCCTAATCAAACGAACCCTTTCTGAAATATTGTCATGTCTAAAAAAAATACGTTTGCACGTGCGAAAGCGGAAGTGCTAGAAGGAATTTGATAAAATTGATATGGGGCCATCCAGGCACCAGTCCGCATAATCCCTGAAAATTTCATGAAAATCGGATGAACGGTACTAGGTGATGCCCATCACATCGATTTAACTACAGACAGACACCGAACCAAATTTGATCCTTGATGTCTGAAACGTAAAACGAGAGTGAAAATTTTCGTTTCTGAGCAGAATTTTTTTTAACCTCTCGCACGAACACAATGCTTCCCTACCTTTGGTAGTGAGGAAGCAAAAAATAATAATAACAGTAACAGAGATGAAATTATGAAATAAATAACATTCCTTATTTTTTTTTTTTTTTCTACTCTTCCTTGCCTTTTAGACTATTTTTCCTGGAGAATCATGCCGAGTTAAAAGTCCCACTCTGGATTTGAACTCATAATTATTTGTTTATCTCAAAATTTTGGTTATCAGGTTGCATGTGTCGACCAAATAATAACTACTGTTTTAAATATTTGGTCTAAAATATCTCAAAATTTAAACATCTTAGAGAAATCGAAGAATAATTTGGCCATAAACAGGGTGTCTTAATTATTAATAGCCAAACTCTGGATGGTGATCCTAGACAAAATTTCCAACAAAAAAGTTCATTTGATACTTGAAAAATTAGTTAAGATCAATTTTGGGTTGTTCTTAAGATGGTCAGTTAAAAAAAAAAAAAAAAAAAAAAAAAAAAAAAAATAAAAAAAAAAAAAAAAAAAAAAAAAAGTATGTTTCAAAAATAGTTTAAGGTAATTAAATTACAAGTATACCATCGTAAAGTAGACAAAATGTCCATTTAGAAAACAATGGTTAGATTTACTATAAGGTTACTTATAAGGAACTTATTACAAAGAGATAAAAGGAACTTTTAGAAGGTCTAATAACGCAAATTCTGCCATTATGCTGAATTATTTTACGAATCGTAATCACAGCGATATGCTGCTTGTGTATGGGTACTGTAACTGCAGCACAGACACACAGACCATTTTTCGGGACTTTGTTATTTGGTTACCCTACAAAATGCCTTTAATATCCCGTTTGTACTTCATAATCCTAGACAAATTTTCCAAATATCACCAGAATCTCACTCATCATCCTAATCTTGTAGCACAGTCATCCCTACAATCGTCCTCAGAGGTTAAAACGGCAGTGGCCCCGTGACCTTTTGTAAAAATTTATATATTGGAGTACTGGCACTGGCCAGATTCGTCACTCATATCCTGAGCGTATGTTGCTTTAGTGCCCTCCACCAGTCTCCACTGGTTTACTATACCAGTGATGCGGCTGGGAGAGAAGCACTGAGATCTCCTGGAGTCCTGCTTTGGCTTCCACAGTTGGAGGACAAAGCTTGATTCAGAGACCCTGAGCGTTTGTTGCTTTAGTGCTCTCCATCAGTCTCCACTGGCTCGCTATACCAGTGACGCGGCTGGGAGAGAAGCACTGGGATCTCCTGGAGTCCTGCTTTGGCTTCCACAATTGGGGGACAAATCTTGATTCAGAGTACCCTGGGCCAATGTTAATATTGTACATAGGTGTGAATGTGTTTTATTTATTTTGTTATTATTCGGCTAATCTGTTATTTTACTTATCTTGTATATTTATTTTATTTATTTATTCTCCCTTCCTTGCCCTTGGGCAAAACGGGTGTCAGCAACTTTGCGGGGAGGGAAAATGTTGCCAAACTTCCAGCGGGCATGTTAAATCGGCGTTATCTTCTTCCATCTTCCAGGTGGCATCCATCTTCTTCTTCTTCACCTCCTCTGTCCGGCGGTCGTCCAGAAAATGGTCCTCTTTCTGGGATATTAAAATGAGCAGAGCCAACTGCGGTTTTCCACCCGTAAATAAAGTTCTTGAAGAACGGGTAGTTCTCTTTGGTCACCAATTGAGGGAAATCGTTATCAGAGAGAACCTAGAGTCCAGTTCATAATAATATGATCAGCTGTCTCCGGAACTTATCTTGTATATATATTACTTCATATTTTTATTTATGTATCTTTTTTTTCCTTTCTTATGTACATATTGTGTGAATGAATACTATAGCCCTAGTACCAATGCCCTTCAGTATGGCACACTGTATTAAACTCAATAAAAAGAAAAATAAGTGTTATTTGGTCAGGATACTATAAAACGTGTATTTCCGTTGAAAACGCAGACTCGAAAATTTTCACGATCGCAATACTGTTCCTTACTATATATTTCATATATGGTTAATAAAAAGAAAAAATTGAAACAGGAATAAAAATTTGTTATTTATTTGCATTTGCTACAATATATTTTCTTTCTTCGGTGGTTATATCAATATGCTATTTAAATAAGCGAATCCTTGCGCTAGATTCTAACCTGCACACCTGTTCCAGAATGTACGGTGGAGTGGCGTGGACTCTGACCCTGGCGGTGCTGACGAGTGGCCGGGAGCAGCCAGCAGAGAGCAGGGTGATCAGCAGCCCGGACTACTTCCCCCAGGACTACAACGGCGGGGTGGAGTTCAAGTACCACGACTATGAGGACATGACCAAGTTCCTGAGGACCACGTCGTCCAGGTATCCCAACCTCACCGCGCTCTACTCCATCGGAAAATCCGTCCAAGGTAAGCAACCAAATATATATATTTTTTTCTTTTTCTTTGTCTGTATCTTCCAGCTATTCCTAACGTCTAGGAAACTCTATCCAACGCAGCCGGGTAAGCTGCCTCATTTCTTAAGGGATTTTCTCAGTCTTCCTTCCTAACTTCTCTCTTATCTGTTCATTCCAGATACGATTTCAACTTGCTTTTCCAACGGCTCTCTGGAGGAATTTCATCTCAGCTCTTGTCACTAGTGTTGCCCAAATACGAGACCGAGACGAATCTTGGTCTTGCCAACTCAGTCTTGGTCTTGGTCTAGGTCTTGAGCAAGACTCTCGTAACAGTCTTGCAGTTACCCATTACCTTATTATTAGAAAGATATTACTGTATTTTTTTAGTTACAAACTAAGTCTAACCTAACTAAGTCTGAATGAAAAATTAGAAGAGTTAAATGCAAAAGTATATTGGTTACACCAATTTTTTTACTAAAATTGTAAAATATTAGAAACTATTTTGCATCAATTTTTATTCAAAAAATAAATTTTTTAACCAGTCTTGGTCTTGGTCCTGCAACAGATAGGCGGTGTTGGTCTTGGTCTTGCAAAGTGCAAGACCAAGACCGATTTTGGGCAACACTACTTGTCACCCGCCTGGCCTAATTGTCTAACCCATAGCCAGAGACTTTCGATTTTTATTGGGGGAGCGATGGAATAAAAAAAAAAATCGCAGGAGTTTACATTATTTGTAAAAATTCAACATAATCATTGTGAAACGAACAAATATAATATAAAATTAATTTGTTTATATGTCTGTATAGTTGTAAGGATTTTTTTTTGTTTTATTTATTATTAATCCATGATATAGACCCCTTTTTATCAAATTATTAACATCCGTCTGAAACTTCGTAAATTGCTAATATTTTGTTTACGGAAATTCTCGAAATTCGGGCATTTTCAATTTGGAGGTCGGCAAACTTTGTATATTTAATTACTGGATTATTTGTTTATTGATAAATATTACAATCTATCTCAATAAAGGACATTTATAATAGAGTTCAGAGAGAATATTCACACCATATTTACAACAAAAAAAAAATAAAAATAAGCTAATTTCAAAATAATATAAAGCTAAATAACAACAAAATAAAATATCATAGTGAAAGAAGAAAATATAAATAAATAAAATAGAATTAAATTATCTTTACAAAAAAAAGAAAGTAATGAAAATAAACATCTTAGACGCAGGCATACCTATTTACACTATTTATAGTCGGCCATGGGAACTCCGAACTAAACTTGTCTCCCCACATGTGGAGGAAAAGCGAGGCTTCAGGAGATCCCTACGCTTCTTCCTCAACCACTTCACTGGTATTAAAAGCCAGCGGAGATTGAGTAAGGGCGCTACAATCACAGGCACTCATGACTTGAGTGGAGAATGTGGCCATTGCCAGAACTCCAATATATATTCAATTAGGTACTAAAAACTCGTACATACCCATTTTCTTACCACTTGGATCGTAAGATAATTTGATCAAAAACCACGTTATTTTGTCAATTTGGGGGTGTAGGTCAAGCAAAACGCCTTAATATTTTTGAAGGCCACCTTTTTTTTTTTTTACTTTACGCTCAAATTATCTTACTATTCAAGTGGAAAGCAAATGAGTATTTGCGAGTTTTTAGTACCTAATTAAATATACAAAGTTTGCCCATCTCCAGATTGAAAACGCCCCAATTCCGAGAATTTTCGTAAATAAATTAATAAATATACTATTGAATATATAGCGTGCCCATTTGTTATCATTAAACAGAGAGAAGAGACAGCCTTTAGAACATTAGTACATTTCTAGCTACTTTTTAGTTAAAAATGGATAATGTAATAAAGCAAAAAATATCTTTGATTTTTTAGTGTGTTCAATGTCCAATAAAAATTTAACGTTTTTCACATTCCGACAAGTTCATCACAGAAAATGTAATAAAAATATCAGGTGATAATCGAGGGGTGATTGAATCATAAAATGCTAGGGATATGTTGATATAAATTATTATCTTTGAATATAAATGGCAATTTAAATAGAAATAACATTTAGGTATCAATAAAATAGTTATATACCTACTATAAAACCCTAGTCTACTTTTCTCATCTTATTACCCAGCTAGTCAGATTTTCTTAATCGATTTTAGTATACATATTTTATTCATTCAGTTAGTTTATTTATTATTTCGATTTTTTTACATAAAATTATTGGGTGGGAAGAGTAAAAAAATATTTTCGCACTTTTTTTTTTTATTTCTTTATGACATTTACAACTGTATTACATAAATACATCAAGTAAATTTGGACATAATTGATATAATGACATGAATACACTTGCTGAGTAACTACCCAATGGTAGCACTCTAATGATATGACTACATTAAGAGATCACGGGGCCATCTTCTTTTCAGACGCCTCGGAGGGTTATCAGCAATTGAAGAGAAAGCAAGGTTAGAAACGAGAGGATTGGGATGATTCTGAAGTTTATTATGGAAGGATAGGTATCTGGATTGGGCCAGATCTGAAACATAAGGAACATTAAGATCTTTATGGATAATTTTATTAGTGACAAAGTAAGGAGCATTGAGGATTTTACGAAGAATTTTGGATTGTAAGGATTGGATGCGAGAGGAATTCGATGGTTTAGTGGAGCCCCATAGCTCAACTCCGTAAGTCCAAATAGGTCTTATTATAGTCAAGTATATAAGTCTTTTGTAATTAATGGGAAGTTTAAAGCGTTTGTCTAGTAAGTAATCGGAAACGTTGAGCGGTTTCTTGTCATTTTCGCACTTAAAATTTTTTTGGGGGGAGGGAGAGGGAGGATCCGTTCCCTTCGCCATTCCGAAGTCTACGCCTTTCGTCTAGCATAATCCAACTATATCTCCATAAGTGAGGATTGGGAGGTACACAGATGTATGTCTCTTAGTTTCCTTCAACAAAATACCCTATCAGGATATTAGAATATCAGGATATAATAGTGCTGGAGCCGGAGCCAAAAAAAGGTAATCCTATCAGAAGAAGGATTGAATGTGAGAATGATTTCCTGCCTGTCATTCCGAATCAACTTATTTTAAAAATATGAGTAAGGCAGTAAAGTATCGATACGGATGTTATGTTAAAAAAAAATGTGGAATAGTATTTATTTATTTTAACTTGTAAATGAAAACATGGAGAAAAAACTAATATAGGGTTTGGTATAGGTCAGGGGTTTACTAACATTTTGGACCACGGGACATATTGAGACGTCCACTTCGTCCTTACCTAAAGTAAGGTAGTATCTACGCAACTACTGGCTCAATTGATTGAGTTCTCCAGCAAAATTTTCATTTAATCGAAAAATATAAAATAATTAATATAATTAGAAATATATAAAAGGTATAACTTTTTTAAAAAAAATTCTAATTATGTTTTTATTTATTTTATTTTTATTTATTGATGATATTTACAACTGTATTACAAGTAAAAATACATTTAGTAAATGTGAACAAAAGAATATAATAGCATGAAATAATGTATTTACAAAAGGAGATCTCGAGGCCATCTTCTTTTCAGACGCCTCGGAGGGTTGTCAGGGATCGAAAAGGAAGCAAGGTTAGAAACGAGAGGGTTAGGATGGTTCTGAAGTTTGTTATGGAAGGAAAGGTATCTGGATTGGGCCAGGTCAGAAACATAAGGAACATTAAGGTCGTTATGGATGATTTTGTTTGTGACAAAGTAAGGAGCTGTGAGGATTTTACGAAGGATTTTGGATTGTAAGGATTGGATACGAGAGGAATTCGATGGTTTAGTGGAGCTCCAGAGCTCAATTCCGTAAGTCCAAATAGGTCTTATTGTAGTCATGTATATGAGTCTTTTGTAATTGACTGGGAGATTAGAGTGTTTGTCTAGTAAGAAACGTCGAGCTGTTTCTTGTCGTTTCAGTCTGGTATGAGGATTCCAAGTTAGACGTTTGTCTAAATGGAGTCCAAGGTATCGAATTTGTTCAACAGGGATAAGTGGGGTATTATTAAAGGATACTGTAGGACAAGAGGACATAGGTTTACGACGAAGGGTAAAGGTGATTTGATGAGGTTTATTGGAATTTATTTTGATTCTCCAGTTTTGAAACCATTCTTCAAGGTTTGTGATGTGTGATTGAAGGGTTTGGGATGAAATTGTTGGGTCGTTATTAATTGATAGGACACATGTATCATCGACATACGTGGTAATGACTGTGGGTTGGGATATCAGCTGTATAAACTATGTAAAGGATAGGACCTAGGATACTACCTTGTGGAACACCAGCGGACTGGGAAAAAAGGGATGAATAGGCATTATTAATTATGTTTTTAAATGTACTTATATTCTGTTTATCCGTAGATATATATTGGGTTGCCAATTCCTTTCGGTTTTTCAATGTTAAATAAAACTCAATGTATTATAGAAATAAAATTTATTTCAATCTACAATATATTGACCACTATTTAATATGGCTTTTTCCCATCTTGCCACTAACTACATACTGCCATGTTCGTAGAATGTCTGGAGTTTTTGTTAAAACACTGATCCAAGTGGTTTTGATGTCCTCTTCCTTTTGGAATCTCTTACCATTCATAGAGTTCTGTAAGAAACCGGAATAAATGATAGTCAATTTGAACAAGGTCTCGTCAATAGGATGGGTGGGGCCTAGCGTTGTTTTGGGGGATCACAACACTCTTCCGATCATTCAATACTCTTCAGTATGTTCTCCAAATTCGATGTTACTATATCCATTGCAAAGATGAATTAATGCTCTTCAAAGCCGTTTGAATGTTTTGTTCTTTTAATAAATAAGCTGTATAAGGAATAAACAAACAAAAACTCCTTATAGGTTCTCATTTTGTATCTTGGTTTATAGTTTTTTTACGAAGGTCCTGTTGACGACATTTTGTGTAGTTTATGTGGCCCTAAATTCCTGCTAAATTTCTTTTAGATAGCTAAAATCGTATTTAAGTTATAACATTTTTTGTGAT